TGTCCAGGGTTCTGCCTGCCTCACGCGCTGGTCAGGGAGGTGCAGTAGCAACTCACCAGGCTTCCTAAAGATATCCAGGATTCAGCCCAGTCCCTGCAAACACACTATGGGTCTGGTGAGTAGCCACCAAGGCCCCAGAGTGTGCCCAGTGTTCCACCTGCCTTGCACGCTGGTCATGGAGGCACAGTGGTGACTCACCAGGCTTCCTGAAGATGTCTGGGGTTCAGCCCCAACAATGTGTATTTTTTAAAAGAACAAATGTTTTTAAATTTAAACATTTACCATATTTTCAGTCACAGTGTGTGTATGTGTGTATTTTGTCATTTCTGACCACCATGTTTAAAAATGACTTTTGAGTTAGTTAAAATGTCAAGGCAAAATATATGTGTTATGTGAAAACAATGATATGAATTTGCATTGTATATTGGTCTGTTTCATCTCTATATATACTGTGCCTTTATTTCAGGAGACCTGTTGTTTGCTCACAGTACATTTGAATGTTTAATCATTTAAAACTTCAGTCATAAACCCTATTGTATCCTTAAAGTATGTATGTTTCTGTCTTAAAATTACTTTCCCCAAACATCCATTCATGATAAAAAAAAAAAAAAACCTACAGAAAATTGGAATGGATGGTCTTTTCTCAGTCTGATAAAAGCCTTCTCTAACAAACCAGTAGCCAACATCATAATAAGTGGTCAAAAGCTAAAAGCTTTTATTCTAAAATGAGGAGCAAGACAAGGATGTCTACTATTACCAGTCCTGTCAATATAGTTCTGGAAACATTAGCCAGAGCAGTTGGACATGAGAAAGAAATAAAAGGAATAAAGATAGGAAATGGAGACGTTAACTTACTATTATTTGCAAATGATGTGATACTCCACATACAACACCCCAAAAACTGCCAAAAGACTTCCAGGTATAATAACCAAATTTAGTTGCATAGCTGGATACAAAGTCAGCAATAATCAGTAGCTTTTCTTTACACAAATAACAAGCTCACTGAGACAGAAATTGGGGAAACAACACCTTTCACAATAGCATCCAAAAAAATGAAATACTTAGGAATCAGTTTAAAAGGAGATAAAAGACCTCTACATTGAGGGAAAAAAAAAAGATTTCTACATTGCAATCTACAGTATTTTGAAAAAGGAGGTCAAAGAGGATATCAGAAAATGGCAAGATATCCCTGCTTCTGGATAGAAAGAACATAATGAAAATGGCCGTACTCCCAAAATGGTTTACAAATGCAGTGCAGTCCTAATGAAAATACTACTAGCATACCTCACAGAACTAGAGAAAACATTGCTAAAATGCATTTGAAACCAGAAGAGACCTAGAATTGCAAAAACAATTCTGGGTAACAAAGGCAAGGCAGAGGACATCACAGTCTCTGATTTGAAATTATGCTACAGAACTCCAGTTACTAAAAACACCATGGTACTGGTGGAAAAAAAAAAACTCCTAAGGATCAATGAAACAGATTAAAGATGCAGAAACAGCTCCAAACACACTCAGCCATCTTATCTTTAACATATGCCAAACAAGTTCACTGGAAGAAAAATAGCCTGTTTAATAAATGGTGCTAGAAAAACTGACTTTCCACATGCCAAAGACTAAAACTAGACCCATGTCTGTCATTATGCACCAAACTAAAATTGAAATGGATCAAAGATCTAAGTATTAAAACAGAAACACTAAATTTGCTGAAAGATAGAACAGGTAGAACTCTTAAAGACGTAGGTATAGGCAAAGACTTCATGCACAAAACCCCGATCACATGGGAAGTATTACAAAGATCCAACAACTGGGATCTCATCTTATTAAAATAAATAAATAAAAACTTGCACAGCAAAAGAAATCACTAACAGAGTGAAGAGACACCCCACAGAGTGAGGGAAAAATTTTGCCAGCTCCTCAAAGGACTAATAGCTAGAACATACAAACAGTTCAAAAAAATCAGACCCCCCGAAACAAAGACCCAATCCAAAAGTAGGCATCTGAGATGAACACACACTTCTCAGATGGAGAAGTAGAAATGGCAAATATATGAAAAAAGTGTTCAGTATCACTGGTCATTTGAGAGATGCAAAGTAAAACAACACTTGGATTCCATCTCCAGCATGAATGGTTATTAACAAGAAATCAACCAATAACAAATGCTGGCAGAGCTGTGAGAGAAAAGGAACCGTTCTCCACTATTGGTGGGATTGTAGGCTGGTGCAACCACTGTGGCAGTCAGTGTGGAGATTCCTCAAAAGAGTAGAACTAGAGGTCTCATTTGATCCAGCTATTCCCCAGCTTAATATCTTCCTGCAAATTACAACCATATACCACAGCGATATACGCACACGTATATGCACAGTTCGTTATAGGTAAATCTTGGAAACAACAACCCAAATGCCCATCAGTGGATGAATGGATAAAGAAGATGTGAGGTTTTTTTTATATACAAGGGAATACTCTGCCATAAAGAAGGATAAACTTGAGACATTTCTAGCTAAATGGATGCACCTTGAGGCCATACCCTTAAGTGAAATAAATCAGATGCATGTGTAAATACCGCATTGTCTCATTACTGTGAGAAACTGAAAAATAAGAGTCAAAATGTATAATAGAGATTGTTAAATAGGAAAAAATGGTTCAAATGGGAAGGGCAAGTAGGGAAAAGGGGAGGGGAAAGGGAAGGAAGGAAAAGAAAAAAATAAAATGGAAAAAAAGCTTTTGTAAGTGAGAAGGATTTAAGGGAGGGAAGGGGAATGGGGAAAAAAGCAGAATCCAGCTACATCATGTACTGGAACAAATTCCATATGATGAATGTGATAATTATGTACATCTGAATTGTACCATTAAAAGTAATTTTAAAAAGATGACTTTTTCCGGGTCTTTCTGGGTTTTTCTCCCAGGTATATTGTTCGGCACATCTTTCCCAAATAACCTCTTTTACTAGCCACTCTTGTGAAGGAGTAATTAAGCTACAGATGATGTAGATTAAGCTGCATGCCCAGGAGTTTAGGATTGGTGAAACCATTGACTCCCAGGGAACATGGGTGCAATTCTGAACCCCAAGTTCTTAGAAACAGATTTAAGAAGAAAGTACAGGAAGCTCATGTGAGCAACAAAGGATGCTTTAGCAGATTTACCAACAACAAACAACAGTTGACTGTTCATATGTAGTGTGAGAAATTCAAAATCTTTCTTTTTTCTTTTTTTTTTTTTTTGATAGAGGGTATCCCTATGCAGTTCAGGTTGGCCTTGAGCTCACTTTGTAGCACAGGCTGGTCTGGAACTCAAAATGATCCTCTTGCCTCAGCCTCCCGAGTGCTAGGATTACAGGCCTGCACCACCACACATGGCTTCGAAATCGTTTTGCTTGGAGAGTGACTGGTTGTTACATATCCTTAATTCCTGATTCTAAACTCTTTCAAATTAATAGGCATATTTAACCTGAAGAAAAGCAGCTATAGGTTGCCAAGTAGACAGATACGTTCTATGTGTTATTTGCCACTGTTTGCCCCAGAACCAGAGTTAGAGGTATTTGTAAAAGAACTGCGTCTGACTTGCAAGTGTGCATATTTGTATGCATATTTTTAATTCTTACTAACTACTTAATAAATTAAATCCTATGAATCTAAAAACTCTGCCTCCGGAGGGTTTATGATTTGGCTAAATTAGAGCACACAAAAACATGAAGTAAGACAGTTTAAATAAAGAAATATTGGCAGTTCCAAGGTGGGGTGGACATTGTGAAGAACATTCAAAGCTAAACAGAAGATAAATTACAGATCACTTAAAATAATCTTAAAGTTTCAGCAATATTCATCATAAATCTCATTTTCAATGAACTTTTTAAAAGACTGATTTACCAAAATTTGGTTAGCTTGCCATCCTTTAAAGCTGTACTTGTGGGACACCTGCTTTGTTTTTCTTTTTTTTTTTTTTTTTTTTTTTTTTTTTTTTTTTTTTTTTTTTTTGTCTTTTTGAGACAGGGTCTCGCTCTGCAGTTCAGGCTGGCCTTGAGCTCACTTTGTAGCCCAGGCTGGTCTCGAACTTGCAGCGATCCACCTGCCTCAGCCTCCCAAGTGCTGGGATTACAGGCATGTGCCACCATGCCCGGTGGGACACCTACTTTGAAGTAACTTCAAAAGATGCTACAGGAAAAAATTATCATAAAGGAGAAAAAAAATATTACCAGTAAGAATGTTTTCGGTGGGAAAATTAGTTTTTGATAATTGTACATAGTACCCTATGATAATAAAACTTCACTATTTTCTACACTGATTTTTCTAACAATTCCTTTTCTCCTTCCCTATTTTCTAGGTGTATTTAGCTCGAAAAGAAGGATCATCTTTTGCTTATATTTCTTGGAAGTTTGAGTGTGGATCAGTTGGCCTAAAAATAGAGAGCATTTCCATTCAAACAAGTAGTCAAACTTTTCAGACAGGAATAATAAATTGGAAATTGCGATCTGATACAGCACAAGTAGAACTGACAGGCGGTAAGTATTTGACTGGAGAATTAATCATGAGATGTTTATTTACCACTCTGGAGTCTATTTATTTGAGATGTAGCTCTTAACATTTTCATACCACAGATTATTCATACTGTTAGAGCAGAAATATTTTTTATTAGTGTGTATCTAATACATGACATTTTGGGAGGGAATTTGTACAGGTATATAACATATCCTGATCATTTTCTATTTTACCTCCTCCCTTCACTCTGCTTCCTCCAAACTCCTTCTCCCTCTTCAAAAAGTCTGCCTTAACTAGGGTGAGGGAAAAGAGAAAAGAAAGAAGGGGAAAAATATGTATATATGTATACACAGGATAGCTAACATAGTTGTACTACTGACTTTTATTGCTCTATTGAAAGGAACAGTTAATGTTTAAGTGTATGATCCATCTTACATGTCTGTATTTGTTTACCTGACTATCCAAATTGAAGATATCAATTTGTAATATAACAACCATTATTAATTTCCTATCACGTTGTCAGAGATTCTGTATTGCTTGTATTGTTTTTCTGTTATTTTCTAAATGTATGTGTGTTTGTTAAGATGTTTTCATTCTTTTATCTTTAAAATAAAAAAAAAGTCTGCCTTCTTGTTTCCTACCACAAAAATATTTTTAAAATGAAAAATGATTGAACTTTGTTGTATCAGAAAGACCAATACAAATGCAAAAAGGAAAATCATGTCTTTATTTCAGATGATACATGTCCTCCATTGGAAGTAATATGTATTTGGGTTTTTTTTGTTTTTGTTTTTGTTTTAATTTTAAAGAGTAAAAGAAGGATAACAATAATGGGGGGGGCTTACCAAATTACAGACAAAGTGGTAGGAAATTATCAATGGTTATTGTTTTGCATATTGTTATCTACAAGATAGTTTCTCAGGAAAACAAATAGACAAATAATAGTTACAGACAAAAGAGGCAGTAGTTGTTGTACTCTACTTAGGTATCTTTAAAAGAAAATAAATAGAACTATACATGAGTGACCTATTGAATAATGATTAACTGTTCTCAATGGTTGTTGTAGGAAACACATACTAATAAACATGCATCCATTTATGAAGTAGGATAGGAACAATACAAACATTACAATACAAACATTACATAGGAACAA